CTCAGTCTGATAATGACATGCTTAACAGGGCCCCGGATATAGAAGAAATTAAAGAGGCAGTTTATAGCATTAATAAAGACAGTGCAGCAGGACCTGATGGTTTTTCAAGCCTATTCTACCAATACAGTTGGGACATTATCAAATTAGATCTGCTTGATGTGATATTGGATTTCTTCAATGGCAGGGTTATACCTCCAGGTATCACTTCAACTTCAATTACTCTTATTCTTAAAAAGGCTGAGGCAAAGGAGTGGAAGGATTTCAGACCAATTAGCTTGTGCAATGTGGTCAATAAAATCCTCACTAAGGTTATGTCTTCTAGACTTAATAAAATCTTGCCAAAAATCATTTCTTCATCGCAAAGTGGCTTTACACCAGGCAGGAATATAAGAGATAATATTCTCCTGGCACAGGAACTGATACATAATATTGACAGGAAGACTAGAGGTGGCAATGTGGTATTAAAATTGGACATGGCAAAGGCTTATGATAGGGTTAGTTGGGAATTTCTTTACAAGGTGATGGAGAAGTTCGGTTTTAGCCAACTATCGATTGATAAGATTAAAAGAAGTATTAACAATTGCAGCTTTTCTATTTTGATCAATGGTGAGCTTAAGGGATATTTTAAATCCACTAGAGGGCTACAACAAGGAGATCCTATCTCGCCTTCCCTCTTTATAATTATGGCTGAGTGTTTGTCTAGGGGGCTGGACCATCTTTTTCACACTAATGTAGACCTTCAGTTCAGATATGGTGGAGGGATCCCAGTTTCACATTTGGCATTTGCAGATGATATTGTTATCTTTACGAATGGTCAAAAACCTGCATTGATTAAAATTATGAAATTGATCAGACAGTATACTGAAAATTCTGGGCAGGATATTAACTGCAATAAAAGTTCCTTCAACACTAGAAGGGAAGGTCACAGAAAAATTATTGCTGATAACACTGGATTTCAATTTGAATCCTTGCCTATGACCTACCTGGGAGTTCCCCTGTATAAAGGGCATAAGAAGGCTGTTTTATTTGAAGATCTGATTAGTAAAATAAAACGTAGAATATTGGGTTGAGAGCATAGATAGCTGTCAGCTGGTGGCAGGATTGCATTAATCAAACATGTGTTGAGCTCCATGCCCATTCATTTACTTCAAATCCTCGACCCTCCTCATTGTATTATTAACAAAATTTCTAGATTGTTTAATAGCTTTATCTGGGGAGATTCAAGTCAAAGTAAGAAAATACACTGGACGTCCTGGGAAAACATTTGTCATCCGATTGAAGAAGGGGGAATTGGATGCAGATCACTTATAGACTTGAACCTTGCTTTTGACTGCAAACTTTGGTGGAAGTTTAGAGAGCAAAAATCTTTATGGAGTCAGGTCCTGTTAGCCAAGTATTGCAGGTCCATTCATGCGAGTGCTGTTAACCAAAGTTCTCTTGACTCAGGTATTTGGAGAAGGATGATTAAAGCCAGAAACATTGCCGAACCTCATATTGCTTGGAGAATTGGAGAAGGGAGAATAAATTTCAAGTATGATACTTGGCTTAAGTCTGGAAAGATTCAAGGGAGGTTGACACAGGATCTGCCTCACGATAAATTGCCTATGGATTTCAGGAAGTTTAACGAATGGGATACTACATCGTTGAACCTCATCTTACCTGTTGATGTGGTTAATGAAATAGTGAAGATATCGGTTACTATGATGCCTGATAAGATATTCTGGAAGCTCAACTCTACAGGGGTTTTTACCATCTCATCTTGTATTAACCTTGTCAGGCAAGGCAAATCAGCGCAGTTAGCTTATAAACATATTTGGGATAAAAACATTCCTCAGAAGATCAGCTTTTTAGGTTGGAGGCTTTGGCATAATTGGCTTCCTACTGATGATATTATCCAGAAAAAATTTGCCATCAGTTTAGGCTCCAAATGTCAGTGTTGCAGCAGCTCTGAAAGCATTAATCATGTGTTTGTGGATGGTCGAATTGCTAAGGAGGTTTGGTCACATTTCTCCAGGGTTATGAATGTGAAAGAAATTGGAAGTGTTCATCCCAGAACCATTCTTATGCACTGGTTTCTATAGAAGAAAGCTAAGCCAGGTGAGATAAGAAATGTTGTTCCTCTGGTTGTCATATGGTTTCTCTGGTTGGCCAGAAACAATGCGAAACATAAACAACATATTGAAAGGGCAGACAGGATTATCAAGCAAGTCTACTTCCTGATCAAGGCTCTTATTAGGACAGGCAGAATTCAACATAATGAGAGGATCAGGCCAAATAAACCCAGAGCTGTCAAGTGGATTAAACCTGAGTTAGGCTGGTATAAACTTAACACGGACGGTGCTAGGAAGGATGATTCCCAGTCTACAGGAGGGGGATTGCTGAGGAATAACTTGGGGAATCCAATTTGGGGATTCTATGAGTATTATGGAGAAGGATCAATAGTGGAAGCGGAATGTAAAGCCATGGAAACTGGTCTGAAGTTGCGTTGGTCACAGGGGTGCAGGAAGTTATGGGTTGAGTCTGATTCTAAGGTGACAATCTCATTGATTAAGCAGAATAATGGTCCATGGAAAGTCCAATATACATTACAATCCATCCGAGGGTTGCTGGAAAAAATGGAAACCAGACTTACTCATATTTGGAGGGAGGGTAATCAAGCTGCCGATTGGTTTGCAGCCAAGGGATTTGTTGACAGGAAGTTCAAGGTTATTGAAGCACATGAGTTCATGGGTAGAATCAAAGGGATTGTGAGGCTAGATAGGAGTGGCATGGAGAGTATCAGACTAGTGAAGTAGATTAGTTTTGTTTTGATATATGTTTTGTGACCTTCTTTACTTTGTATTCGTTTTTTCATGAATAAATTAGTATCCTACGGCTTGGATTTTCAAGCTAGGATATTTTACCAAAAAAAAAAAAGGAAAAGAGTGAGAATAGTTAGAA